CAGCTAATAAAAACCCCAAATTCTGTATCTCAGAAAATTTGAATATTACATAAGACCAATTTAAAAAAGGGTTTTTAATACACAAATGTTGGCCTACTGAAAAGTATGTCTATGTACAGTTTAAAATATGCACTCAATACTTGGTCGGGGCACCTTTTGCATGAATTACTGCATCAATGCGGCATGGCACGGAGGCGATGAGACTGTGGCCCTGCTGAGGTGTTATGGAAGCCCAGGTTGGGGCCTTCAGCTCATCTGCATTGTTGGGTCTGATGTCTCTCATCTTCCTCTTGACAATACCCCATAGACTCTCTCTGGGGTTTAGGTCATTCAAGAATTTGGTTGAGAATCACAAGGAGTGAACTGCGGCTGGAGTCAGTGCTTCAAGAGCCACCACACACAGACGTATCCAGGACATGGGCTACAACTGTCGCATTCCTTGTGTCAAGCTACTCCTGAACCAGAGACGTAAGAAGTGTCTTACCTGGGCTAAGTTGCCTGAGCTAAGTTACCTGGACTAAGGAGAAAAAGGACTGTTGCTCAGTGGTCCAAAGTCCTCTTTTCAGATGAAAGTCAATTTTGCATTTAATTTGGAAATCAAGGTCCAGAGTCTGGAGGCAGAGTGGAGAGGCACACAATCCAAGTGTCTTGAGGTCCAGTGTGAAGTTTCAACAGTCAGTGATGATTTGGGGAGCCATGTCATCTGCTGGTGTTGGTCCACTGTGTTTTATCAAGTCCAAAGTCAGTGCAGCCTTCTACCAGGCCATTTTAGAGCACTTCATGCTTCCCTCTGCTGACAAGCTTTATGGAGATGCTGATTTCATTTTCCAGCAGGACTTGGCACCTGCCCACACTGCCAAACGTACCAATACCTGGTTTAATGACCACGGTATCACTGTGCTTGATTGGCCAGCAAACTCGCCTGTCCTAAACCCCAGAGAGAGTCTATGGGGTATTGTCAAGAGGAAGATGAGAGACATCAGACCAAACAATGCAGGCGAGCTGAAGGCCACTATCAAAGCATCCTGGGCTTCCATAACACCTCAGCAGGGCCACAGTCTCATCGCCTCCGTGCCACGCCGCATTGATGCAGTAATTCAGGCAAAAGGAGCCTCGACCAAGTATTGAGTGCATACTGTATACTGTACATGGACATACTTTTCAGTAGGCCAACATTTCTGTATTAAAAATCCTTTTTTTAATCGGTCTTATGTAATATCTAATTTTCTGAGATACGGAATTTGGGGTTTTTATTAGCTGTAAGCCATAGCCTAATCATCAAAATTAAAAGAAATAAACACTCGAAATATATCACACTTTTGATGATATTCTAATTCATTGAGATGCACCTGTATACATTAATCATTGTTTGGAATTGTTGAGGGAATACTTTTTATAACACTTCAAATATTCAGAAATTACCTGTTCCTCGGTACAAATGTATGACATTTACTTTTAAATATCTCTTAATTGGTACAGTAAAATTGTTGAATTTTTAGTATGGGTGGAGTCAAAGATGTCTTGAACAGATATGCATCAGTCATTATCTGGAATTATTAAGAAAATCCTTTTTATAGCACCTTAAATATTAAGAAATGAACTTTTTGAACGTTCAAAAGAAGGACTTATATTTTGGAAAATCTCTTAATTGGGAAAGTAAAAATATTTGATCCTCAGTATTAGTATAGTTAGAGATGTCATGAACACATATGCACTAGTCATTGTCTGGAATTATAAAGAAAACTCTTTTTATAGCACCTCAAATATTCAGTTGTTGGATATTTCTTGGAACAAATTAATTTGTCCATTAATTTAATGGACATTTACTTTAAAAAAAATCTCTTTATTACCACAGTAAAGATTTTTCATTTTCTGTATATGTGTGGTCAGATATTTCCTCAACTTATATGCATGAGTCATTGTGTGGAATTATTGAGAAAATAGTTTTTATAGCACCTCAAATATTCAGAAATGTACCCGTTTCTTTGTACAAATGTATGACTTTTAATTTGAAATATCTCTTAATTGGTACTGTAAAAATGTCAAATTTTCAGTATGGGTGGAGTCAACGACGTCCTCAACACATGTATATCAGTCATTTTCTGGACTTATTGAGAAAATACTTTTTATTACACTTCAAATATCCATTTATGAAATATTTTCTCGATTCAAATGTATGAGTTTTAATTTGAAATATCTCTTAATTAGGACAGTACAAATGTCTTATTTTCTCTATGGGGGGAGTCAACGATGCCTTGATTACATATACATCAGTCATTGTATGGAATTATTGAGAAAAATATTTCATTCAGATCCAATTCTGGTGCTAATGAAAAGTGTAATGTCATAATTCTGGGCGATAAAGTAAAAGCGTGTGTAATGCAGAGTAATGACGGTCTAAACGAAGAGACACTTCTAGTTAGTGACGTACTGCGGTGGTTTAGAGATAAACCTGCAGTAATGCAACGTAATTACACTGTGATTGTGATGGGATTGAAGCCTGTCTCTCCACTCTGTCAACACACTGACCCTAGCTCTGTGTGTGTGTTTAGGGGGGGTATTAATCAGCCGGTCTGACCCTGGGTGTGACTGGACCTTTAACTATCCCTCATTACACACACACACACACCCGAAGAGCAGTAATTGAAAAGCAGCTGGTGTATTTAGAAGAATCATTACTGCTAAAAGAGGAGCAGCTGCATTTACATTGTGTGTGGGTGTGTGTCCTCTATCAATTTATTGTTGCCATCTTAAAAGGAGTTTGAGAAAGAAAGAAAATAAAGAATAAAAATAACAGAAGGAAAAGAAATAGGAAAGTATAAAGAAAGGAAAACATACGAGCGAGAGCGAGAGAGAGAGCGAGAGCGAGACTTCTGAATGTAATCAGTGTTGCAGCAGGGCTCTTCTCTCTATCAACACCTCTTAGCCCTTCCAGCTGGGGGGGCAGACCTCACACACACCCACAAAGGCATCTGGGGTCTTTGGTTTGTTCAGACTTCTCTCAGCTACGCATCACTAAGCACAAGGACCTGGAAGAGTGAGTGTGTGTGTGTGTGTGTGTGTGAGTGTGTGTCTGTGTGTGAGAGAGAGAGAGAGAGAGAGAGAGAGAGAGAGAGTGTAAGAGAGAGAGAATCTAGGGTGTAGTGGAGCATCTATTCCTCTCATCCCTGTCTGTCAGTCAGCGGTATGCACTCTTATGTTTGTATTACTGTCTGTGTGTGAGGGTCGGATTCAAAGGTGAATAACAAATTGTGGAGGTTCGGGTATTTTCTACCTCAAAGATTTTCCTTGTCCATTTCGACAGCCTTGGTACCACAGATGAAGAAGTTTTTCTGTACAGCACAGCATGACATGTTACAATGTTATTTCACCACTGCTGGTGTTTGTGTTTGAACAGTGCAGCTTGTTTTTTCAGGGTGAAAAAGCTCGCCTTGCATTCTGTTTTATAAACCAGGACTATGGAAGCCCATAGGGGACTTTATAAAATTGAAAATGTAATTCCAAAATAGGTTAATAATTTTCAATACATACTGTATATGTGTAAAAGTTTTAATTAAAACGAAAAAATACAATTATCAAATTCATTTTTCCATCCTCATCTAGGCGTTCTATGACTATTTCTAAATGAAAATGGAAAAGTAGTAAATAATACATACTTAATTTAAATTTTCAAATTGTATTCAACATTTGAATCTAAGTCTTTGAAAATGAAATGTCACCAAAGAACATTTTTCCTTTTCATACTCAAATTGTTAAAAATATTGCATATTAATTTTTGCACAAATGTAAAATCAGGTTACATTGTTTATATTTCCATTTTAAAATTAAAGTAACATTTTAATATTCTCCACTATACAGAGGGGTACAACATTGAAAATGAAATGTCAAACAGCTTTTCCATTTTTCTTTTAATATTGTCATAGAATGCCATACGAGTATGAGAAAATGAAAATGACATTGCATTTTTAGTTTGACTCAAATTACACATACAGTACATCAGTCAGTGTATGGAATTATTGAGAAAAATATTTTTGTAGCAGCTCAAATATTGTGATATTAGCCTTTTTTTGTCCTGAACATATATGCATTAGTCATTGTGGGGAATTATTGAGAAAAACATTTTCATAGCACCTTAAAAACTTCAGAAATTTGCCATTTGAAGATATAAATTCAGTTCAGAGTTTTTGCTTTGTAAAACATCTAAATTGACTGTCAGTCAGGTATTATTAATTTCCAGCAACCCTCAAATCAAAGAATAAATACACTTTACGCACAATTTAGGTGTATTTTTCCTTTAACTCACGAGATGATGGTATCATTTTTTATACTTATTGGAATATAATTCATTTAATCTCATTTCATTATGCAATATGTATACTTTGTTGGCATCTTATTTTGAAAACCGGATGTTCGTCTGTAGAAAACCGGAAGTTTTCACGTTAATCTTTCCGCTAACTTTGCAAAATCCTTCGCTCGCTCCCGTCCTGTCCCGTTTGGTTTTGGCGTTTACCGTAAGTTTCAGCGTATAGGTGCACTACAATTGAAGTGTCTGCTGAGTTGACCACGGAGATCTGAGTGTCTGCTGACTTGACCGCAGTATTATATGTTGGGGTAAATGTTCTACCTTGGGAAGGTATTCAGTGAGACTTTGGTTATATATTTCTAAAAATAATTAGTCATTCAATTAACTGATCTTTAAAAAAGCAATACTTTACTTGTACTAACTTTATACTATATGTATAATACTATATGTATAATCATTATTTTACAATTACATTGTAAAATATGTTGTGGTCTGCGAACATACTTGGATGGGTGGAGGGTAAATAAAACAGATAGGCACCACATATTTCAGTCCATGTGAAGCTGCGTGGAGCTCAGCTGACTCTGGATAAATAAAGGTTAAATTCAAATTTGCAGCAGGAGTAGCCCGTGGAGCAGACAGACAGATGCCTCCCAGCTTCCTGTCATCCTGCCCGCCTCAGCAGATAGCCGCATCCTCTTGCTCCGAGCAGAGGACACGGAGCAGCTGGCTGCAGCCATGGGACAATCTCACCAGCTGGAACACTGGAGCTTGTCTGACTGAAGGTGCAGTATCCTGGCTAGATGTCTCTGTTTTGTGGTGTCTCGGGACCAGTTTTCTAAGTATAGCTTACTGTTTAACCTTCAGGATTCAGATAAGGTCTCACTGTGTGCTCAGTGTTGGACCGCTTTCCGTTGGGTGAACACATGACCGTGTGCCTAGAGATGAAGATGACGGTGTGGTTTGGGTGTTATTGACTGGAATGGGTGGGGATGATGGAGTGAATCAACGTGACTGTAGGTGATATACGCCGTCCCGTATCCTGTGCATGAAAAATGACACAATCTCACACTTTCGTGTTTTCTGACTTATAAGAAGGTACACGCAGTAAATAAACCCAACGTGTTTCAGGAATGAATAGAGACGACTGCTAATTTCGGCTTTATTTGACAATAATCAATATCTACTATATCAAGGTTCCAAACTTGAAATAGTGTCGCATATGCTTCCATCATAACACACCGCGCCCCCCTGGACCAGACAGCATACTGTGCTAAAATTAAGGTAGATTACATATGGATACGGTTATTCATTTACTTTGTGTGTGAGCCGAATTGCAGAACAGTGCCACCTGATTAAATAGTAGGTATCCAACATGTTTTAAAGACCTTGGTAGCTGCCAATAAGTAAAGTCGCGGGAACTTGAAACATTTTCGAATGACGTCTCGTGAGAGTGATTCTCCGGAGCATAGAATGGGAGGGCGGTAACCCCGCGCTACAGTCTACGCTTTAACTAAAGACCAGTCCCGTAGTGAGGAAGGAGTGGAGCGGCTGATGCCGTGCGGCGTAGAACTAAAGAAGGAACATTAATGACCTATGAATAAGGTTGTGGGTCCTCATTGGGAGTCCTCAGTGAGTAGAACATTGACAGTTGGTTCCTTTGGAAGAATTTCGCCTGTTCTGGAATGTAGAGGAGTCGGCTTCAGTCGTGGAAAAAAATGCAAAGATCTCAGCCTTCCCACGGGAAGTTAGTCAAATAATCATCAGATGGCACTGATGCTGCTGCTACTGATGCAGCCTAGTTCATGCTGTACGTTTTGCTAAACTATTTCTGTCACCAGTAATACATGATGGGGGGTTTGTACACTTCGGCGTAATGTTAATAAAAGTGCTGTTTTAAAAAGAGAAGTTATGTGTCCCATCTGTAGGGACAACACATGTATACAAGATATATCGCATACACATTTTTCCTTAAGATTTGAGTCCTGGTTGATATAGAATTTCTATATGAGTGAAAAGAATGACGTGGTAGAGTTTAGCATTCTGGAGTCGATTCAAAATTCCATACGAACATGCTATTTTTCAGAATTGTGTGCATAGTTTCATTTTTTATGTGTAATGGAGAAAAGTGTAATGCAGCATTTTTCCATGAATGTCACCACAGATACAGTTTGTAATACTGCAAATATATACACCATTGTGCTGCCTCCTTTGGCAATATATAGTGAGTTAACAGACATTTATTTAAATGAAAATCTTTGAGATCGTCACTTTAACATGTCATATACAATTAGGGCTTAAGATCCATCTGTACATATTTTATTTTTGTATTCATTTATTTATTCACATTTGCAGTTTGTGTGCAAGTCTGAGGATGATAATGCTCTTAACCCCATTGGATTGTGTACATTGTTCTGTTTGCGCTATGGATTTGTTTGACCATCATAATGAACAAATAATTACTAGCCTATTTGTTTCTGTTAGAATAGGAATATGTTTATCCATCATACCTGCTTATTCCTATTTGTTGATGCGTGTGGAGCTGGTGTGGAGGCTATATCCGTGCTGTCTGGAGGATATTCCACTTGCATGCATTGAGCAGAAGGCAAGGAAAAAACACTGGACAACCAGAAAGAAAACACATACACAGCTATGGAATATTCTGTGTTTTCAGTTAATCTGAGATGTATGAATTTTGGACTTATTTGCATGTGTTTTGGACTGTAGGAACCACACAAACACAGGGAGGACAGGGGCTGACATTCAGACCAGTCACACAGTGCCAAACACGAAGGCAAATACAATAAATGACATGCTGATAGTCGAGGGGATTCACTCTTTTAAAGTGTGACGGATTCAGGAAAATATTTAAAGGGATAGTTGGATTCTATTGTTTTTGTTTGTAAGTTAGACAAACCTATGGATTGCTTTTGTCCCCATACATTAGAAGCATGGTGATGATGATAGTCATGATAGTCATTGTTGTCCTTTCCATTAAGTAAGTAATGTCAGTAGCACAAAGGTACGCATAGAGTAGACAGCAGCAACCTTCTACAAACATAGAGGAAGTGATCAAACCAAGTGGACCTCCCATTTGTCTGATGTGAACTTGTCCTGTGCCTGTGTCATGCCACTGAGCACTAAATAAAGAGCATATGAAGATATTAAAGCCACAGGTATACTGGATTTTACTGGTCCAAGCTGTCACATTCAGTTCAGTACAAAACAAGGCTTGTACAAGCAATTCAATTTAATTCATTTTGTATAGCCCAAAATCACAGATATCAAAAAGAAAATCAGAGGGCTTTACAATCTGTACACATACGACATCGTCTGTTCCTGGACCCTCACATCAGTACATGAAATACTCCCCCCAAAACTGCACTGCACTGCAGCAGCCTATTAACAGAATGATCCCATCATGATTGTTTCTGTGGTCTTTTAATAAGCTATTAATGAGAAAGTAACATACTGTCAGTCGCACCTGAGCTGACAACGGTGCTCTCAGTCACCAGTGAGAACTCCATTGCTAAAAGCTAATTCAGACAGTGACAGTGGTGATTCAGTATATTTAGTTCACTCTGTAGATTTGACTCATTCCAACATGTACTGAACATCTCTATTGTCCTTTAAAATAGGCAGGGCAGAGTCAAAGATTTCCATCACACAAAGGAGCCCATTGTGAACTCCACGCTGACACGGTAAGAACATGCATAGCCAGAAGCCTTTCGCAGTGCGGCAACAGTGCTAGTAACTGCAACACATGCTGCCATTGAACATCTGAAATTTAATAAACACCTAATAACCTTGCAGTAAAAAATTCTGGTTAAAGCCCCATTGAGCCAAATTGATGATTTGTGATATTGGGCTGTAGAAGTAGAATTAACTTCACATGACTACTTATGTTAAGTCTATAATGTTACACTTTCAACATTATTTGTTGAATAACAAATAATGCTGAGCAACGCAATGTAGCCGTAAAGCTCTGAACACACGTCATTGGGAGACGATTCTGTCGAGGTCATGATGATGCTGAGTCATCTCTGCTGCTTTCAGCTCTGTGCCTCTTTAAGCTGCGAGTGCGTGTCAGGGAGAGAGACTGGCCATGCATCAAGAACCTTCATCTCAGCGTCAGTATGTTTCTTCCTGTGTCTGTTTCTTTCATCTATTCGTTCACATCCATCGTCATCAATTGAATATAACAATAAGTGATTTTGTTAGGTTGAATAGGAAGGAATGTATAATTCTGCTGGTTCATAAAAGTTGTGGCCGCCAGGGGCATTGTTTAGTCACCAGTTTGGTGTCCATCCACTGGACAAACAGCAACTTCTCCACTCGTAGCCATCTGATGTCTCACCCGCTTGGCCTTCTTCACCAGTTTGTTTGGTGGCAGGGAAACCCCTACGGTTCTCACGCATAGTCCCACAAGCCATGATATGTTTTTGGTCCAAATCAGTCAGAAGCTTGGGACTGGTGTAGAAGTTGTCCATAAATACCTGATATCCTGTTCCCAACAGTGGAATTTCCAGAAGCATCATCGCAGCAGAGTAGCCCAGTCCATCTGTCAACTGTACTGCTGTCTTCCCCTCAAAAAATTCCATGTGTAGCCATGCATGTCTGCAAGCACAAACCGTTTTATTCCCCACTTTGTTGGTTTTAGTGGTAAATACTGTTTGAAACCTAGACTTGCTTTTCAATTCAATTCAATTCAATTCAATTAATTTTTGTATAGCCCAAAATCACAAATTACAAATTTGCCTCAGAGGGCTTTACAATATGTACACATTTGACATCCTCTTGTCCCGGGACCCTCACATCGGAACGGGAGAAACTCCCCCAAAAAAACCCTTTAACGGGGAGAAAAGAGGAAGAAACCTTAGGGAGAGCAAAAGAGGAGGGATCCCTCTCCCAGGATGGACAGAAGTGCAATAGATGTCATGTGTGGAACAGGATAAGTGAACAACACATTCAATGTAATTACAGCACATTCAATGTATAACAGAACCACGGCAGGAGGCAAGACCTGGTCCAGGTATAACCCGGATACACAGGAATCTGTGAGGCGAGAAAGCACAGAGACTCTAGTGAAGAAGCAGGTCAATAACGTGCATTAATGGTATCGGTAATATTAATTAGTAATGTGAGTAATAATAAAAGTGATATTAGCAGTTGGAGTCAGCAGGGCCATTGTAGGAGGAAGGACCAGGGTCCAGATGAAACCATGCTCCATGGAAACCTGTGAGGCGAAAAAGCACAGAGACTCTGGTGAAGAAGCAGGTCAATAATGTGCAGTAATGGTATTGGTAATATGAATTTTTGTAATGTGAGTAATAATAAAAGTGATATTAGCAGTTGGAGTCAGCAGGGCCATGGTAGGAGGGAGGACCAGGGTCCAGATGAAACCATGCTCCATGGAAACCTGTGAGGAGAGAAAGCACAAGGACTCCGGGGAAGAGACAAAGTCAGTACTGTGCATTAATGGTATCAGTAATAGGGTTAATACTGTTCATAATGAAGATCGTAGTAGGTGTCAGCAGGGCCATGGCTGGTGGAAGGACCAGTGTCCAGATAAAACTGGGGTCATGGGAACCTGTGAGGCGAGAAAGCACAAATACTCTGGGGAAGAAGTAAAGTTAGTAAGGAGCATTAATGGGACATCAATTCATACAGACAGAGGTGAAGAAGAGGAGAGAGGAGTTCAGTTTATCCTAGGAAGACCCCCTGTAGTTTTTGCCTATACCAGTTTGTCTAAGGGCCGGTCCAAGGCAAACCAGAGCCAGCCCTAACTATAAGCACTATCAAAAAGGTAAGTCTTAAGCCTACTCTTAAATGTGGCGAGTGTGTCTTTTAAATTCTATTCTAGATTTTACAGGGAGCCAGTGCAGAGAAGCTAATACAGGAGTAATATGATCTCTTTTCTTAGTTCTTGTTAGTACACGAGCTGCAGCATTCTGAATCAACTGGAGAGATTTAAGAGACTTATTAGAGCAGCCTGAAAATAAGGAATTGCAGTAATCTAGTCTAGAGGTAACAAATGCATGAACTAATTTCTCTGCATCGCTTTGAGACAGGATGTGCCTGATTTTTGAAATATTACGTAGGTGAAAAAAGGCAGTCCTAGAAATTAGTTTTATCTGAGAGTTAAAAGACAAATCCTGATCAAAGGTAACTCCAAGATTCTTTACGGTGCTGTTGGATGCCAGCGCAACGCCATCCAGAGAAACCACATCACCAGACAACCGATTTCAGAGGTGCTCTGGGCCCAGTAGAATAACTTCAGTTTTGTCTGAGTTTAACATCAGGAAGTTGCAGGTCATCCAGGTTTTTATGTCCTTAAGACATGGTTGCAGTTTAGCAAGCATGTCTTAAGGACATATATATCGATCAAACTAGATGAAACCAATCAGGTTTCATCTAGTTTGATCGATATATATATAATTGAGTGTCATCTGCATAACAATGAAAGTTTATAGTGTTTTCTGATAATATTGCCTAAAGGAAGCATATATAAGGTGAACAAGATTGGTCCAAGCACAGAGCCTTGTGGAACTCCATAATTGACGTTGGGCTTCATCGTTTACAAAAACAAACTGAGATCGATCCGATAAATAGGATCCAAACCAGTTCAGTGCAGTTCCTTTGATGCCAATATAATGTTCTAGTCTCTGCAACAGGATGTAGTGGTCTATAGTGTCGAACGCAGCACTAAGGCCTAACAGGACAAGAACAGAGACTAGTCCTTTGTCTGATGCGATTAGAAGGTCATTAGTTATTTTTACCGGAGCTGTCTCTGTGCTATGATGCTTTCTAAATCCTGACTGAAAATCCTCAAATAAACTATTGTTACGTAGAAAGTCACACAACTGATTTGCAACTGCTTTCTCAAGGATCTTAGAGAGAAAGGGAAGGTTAGAGATCGGTCTGTAGTTGGCCAACACCTCTGGATCGAGAGTGGGCTTCTTAAGAAGAGGTTTAATTACAGCTATTTTGAAGGACTGTGGTACATGGCCTGTTAATAAAGACAGGTTGATCATATCTAATAAAGTCCTGCTAATTAATGGTAGCACTTCTTTAAGCAGCCTAGTCGGTATAGGGTCTAAGAGACAGGTAGAAGGTTTAGACGTAGAAATTGTTGAAGTCAGTTTGTCAAGGTCGATGGGAGTAAAGCCATCTAAACATATATCAGGGTTTACAGCTGTTTCTAAGGTTACTCTATTTGTGGAAAGATCGGTAATAGTCGAGGGCAGTACATTGTTTATATTCTCTCTAATAGTTATAATCTTATCATTAAAGAAGTTCATGAAGTCATTGCTACTGAGGTCTATAGGGATACTCGGCACAACAGAGCTGTGACTCTGTCAGCCTGGCTACAGTGCTGAAGAGGAACCTGGGGTTGTTCTTATTTTTCTCTATTAACGATGAGTAATAAGCTGCTCTGGCATTACGGAGGGCCTTCTTATACGTTTTAAGACTGTCTCGCCAGACTAACCGAGATTCTTCCAAATTATTGGAACGCCATGTTCTTTCAAGTTTTCGCGATGTTTGCTTTAATTTGCGGGTTTGAGGGTTATACCATGGAGCGAACCTCCTTTGTTTTACTAACTTCTTTTTTAAAGGAGCAATAGAGTCTAGTGTCCTTCTCAGTGAGCTTGTAGCACTATCGACAAGATGATCAATCTGGGTAGGACTAAAGTTATCACAGGAGTCCTCTGTTATATTGAAGCATGGTATTGAGTTAAATACAGACAGAATCGCTTCTTTAAATTGAGCTACGGCACCATCAGATAGACATCTAGTGTAGTAACTCTTGCTTACCGGTGTACACTCCGTTAGTAGGAATTCAAAGGTTATTAGATAATGGTCCGATAAAAGAGGGTTCTGTGGAAAGACTATTAAATCTTCTATGTTAATGCCATAAGTCAGAACCAGGTCGAGAGTGTGGTTAAAACAGTGAGTGGGTTTCTGTACATTCTGACAGAAACCAATCGAATCTAATAATAAGAATAGAATAGAATAGAATAGTACTTTATTCATCCCCAAGGGGAAATTTGTCTGTGGCAGCAGCAAACAGGGTTACACAATAAAATAAAAATATTAAGTGTGGAAAATGCACAATATATACAATGTAATAAAATAAAATAACCAATCAGGACCTATTAGATTTAAGAAGATAAAGTAATAAAAATGCACAGTTTAAACACCAAGTATAATCATATTAAACTAAGTATGAAAAAATAAACAAAACAGTAGTGCAAAAGATCACCAGCAGCAGCAACAACAGTGTAGCATTGTTATAGTCTTGTGTTTGATTTGGCCAGAGGTGATTTGTTATAGAGTCTAATAGCAGAGGGCAGGAATGTTTTCCTGTATCGGTCCTTGTGACAGCGTAGCTGAATCAGTCTGTTGGAGAAAGTGCTCCGCTGTCCCTGCAGTAGGTGGTGGAGAGGGTGGTCCGGGTTATCCAATATGGACAATAGTTTCTTCAGTGTCCTCCTCTCCACCACCTCTTCTACAATGTCTTGTTTGCAGCCAATGATGGAGCCGGCCTTCTTAATCAGTTTATTAAGTCTGTTGGTGTCTCCGGCTCCAATGCTGCTCCCCCAGCAGACTACGGCGAAGTACAGTGGACTGGCCACAACAGACTGGTAGAACATCTCCAGCATCTTGCTGCACACGTTGAAGGATCGAAGTTTCCTCAAGAAAAAGAGTCGACTCATCCCCTTCTTGTACACAGCGTTGATGTTGGTCTTCCATTTCAGCCTGTTGTCGATGGAGACACCCAGGTACTTGTACTCCTCCACCATGTCCACGTCCTCTCCCAGAACTTTCACCGGTTGTGGAGCCATCGTCTTCCTCCTGAAGTTGACCACCATCTCTCTGGTCTTGGCCATGTTCAGACGCAGGTGATTTCTACCGGCCCACTCTATAAAGCCAACCACTACTGTCCTGTAATCCTCCTCCCGTCCGTCCCTTATACACCCGACCACTGCAGAGTCATCAGAGAACTTCTGCAGATGGCATGACCCTGAGTTGTACTGGAAGTCAGTGGTGTACAAGGTGAACAGGAAGGGAGACAGGACAGTTCCCTGTGGGGCTCCAGTATCACTGACCACCGTATCAGACAGCACACGGCC